TTAGCCTCCCAAGTGCTGGGATTATAAGCGTGCGCCACTATGCCTGGCAAAGGCAGGTGTTTTAACATCAAATCTAGTGTCCTTTCACACACAACCAATGTCTTGTTTGAAAACTAAGTTTCTGTCCTCCAGCAGGTGGTTTTATCTGCTGGTCCAGGCATGTTGAAAAGTTTTGGGTTTCTAAATGTATTTTTGTCATGGCAGAGGCATGTGCCTCTAGCAGTGTAGCGTAGGAAATGACATTTTACCTCTCTCTGATCTACATTTCTGAAAAACATTTTCTTCTTGCAAGGAGACATTTGGGCCATTGCATAGTTAACATTTGCAAACGGCAGTAGGAAATTCATTAGCTTGAAAGGAACATGAAAGTCACATCCAGAGACAGAAGGTAGGGTGTTAATTATTAACAAGAGATTGCCTAAGAGATTCAATTAGGAATTATTAAGGAGCTGTTGGGAATATTAGGATGGGATGAACAGAGCCCATTGAAACATAAATAGGCATTGCTGCTGCTCTAGGCATTCACACAGCACCCCAAGAAGGGCTCAGTGGGAAAGGAAACCCACTATTCTCATTCAGTTATGATGCTTACGTTTATTACAGTTCTTTTTTGTTTTTTAGTTTTTCTCCGGTACTGGGAACCGAACTCACGACCTTGCGCTAGCCAGACAGGCGTTTTTGCCACTGAGCTAAATCCCCAGGCCCTGTTTATTACAGTTCTAAAACCTATCCGATGGCAGTGCAGGCTCGGCCAAGGCAACAGCATCTGCAGCTCAGTAAAGTCAACTAAACTTTGCTGAATACCCATGCCAGGCTCAAAGCCATATTCATGGAGAACTGGGGAGGAGCGGGGTGCAAATTCTGCCCCTCATCTCTTGGGCCAGCACTCAAATTGCCCTAAGGCAGGACAGGATGCGCTGCTCAAAAGCAACTTCAGGAAAACAAGGAATAATTAATATCTGCTGAGGTGACTGGGAAAAAAAATAACATTTCCACAGCAGCTTCCACATGCCACACCCAGGGCCACATGCCCTCTTGAGCCCAGCAACTCAGTGAGTTTGGTTATTATCTCCATTTTGCACCTCAGCAAAACTGAGGCGTGGTGCACTGAGTTGCCCAAAGTCAATGGGCAAGTAGCAGAGCCAGGCTAGGCTGATCCTCCCCACTGCTCTGTTCCACCTCTGAAGAGAAGGGCATGTGGAATGAGCCCAGGGAATGCTGAACAGAACAAGGATTGGACAGCAAAGTATTCCAAGCCGTAGGAATTTGGAAAGAAACAAGGGAAACTACAGGCTGGTGTTACTATAAAGAATCTTAGGGGCCGGGGATACAGCTCAGTGGCATAAGCATTTGCCAGGCAAGCCTGAGGTCATGAGTTTGATTCCCGATACCAAAAAAAAAAAAAAAAAAAGAATCTTAAATGCCTGGCTTGGGAGTCACACTTCAATTGATAGATAATAGGGGCCTTTGCATAGTAAATCATCCTTCTTCAGTAAATTGGGATGTGTTTGGTTTTTTGAGAGTATAAGATTTTTCTAAGAATATTTAATATGTAAATACAGGAACAAAACATTCTACATAAAACAATGTAATTTCAGTAATATAAAGTGTTAACCATGAGCTATTTTACTTGTCCTCAACAAAATATGTCATCAGCAGGTTAAAACAAACTGTCACAAAAGGACAAAAGCAAACATACATTACTGAAAGTGAACACTAGCTATCTAGGCTTTGCAAAGTGTATCACTTACACTGTTGAGCATTTTGTTTTGCTTTGTCTTTAAAAGGGCATTTCTGCATGTTATTTGATTCTAAAAGGCAAACATGTTCATTACAAAAAACTTGGGAAATGCAGAGAATACAAACACACCTGCTTGTTTGTACCACTCACTTCTCCCTAACCTATGGAACAGCAGGCAGTACCTTTTTAAGCCACACTAGCGTTTTTTACAATGCGTGAAGTATTTCCCCCAAGTAATTACTCTGGTGACTGCAACTCCACAGGCTGCTGTTTATACTGATTATCAGAGCTGGTCACAAACGTTAGCTTCTTGGCCTCCATCTCTGTTTTTTCCTCTCCTTTTCACCTCTCAAGACTCAACTCTCCTCTTGAAGCGAAGACCACATTTACACATAGCTCTACCCTGAGCACTTAGCATAGTAGCATTTGGACATTCCTTCTCCTTTCTTTTATTCAACTGTGCTGTATCAAATGTTAAAAAGTAAGGAATGTCAAAGCATTGCTTCTAGGTTGGCATGTAAATTAACAGGCATCTTATGAGGAAAGGGAAATTTTAAATACAGAAGTATGAAAGGAAACTGGATCAGTTATAGGGAGTGAAATAGTGACCCTCACTTGTCAAAATGGGCTCCTCTCCAAAGAGTAATTGTTTCATGTGACTCACTGACTTCTTTTTCCTAGTCAGCGTTCACTCACTGAGTACCTTAGAGGTCACATGAAATACACAGATAATCACCTGCACAAATTAAATTAATTCTTAACAATTCAGAAGTAATATGGGGGGGGCACTGGGGATTTAGCTCAGTGGCACAGCGCCTGCCTGGCAAGTGCGAGGTCGTGAGTTCAATTCCCGGTACCAGACAAAAAGCAAACAAACAGACAACAACAGAAGTAATATGTGTGTGTGGTATGGGTGTGTTGTTTTCATTTTAGTTTTGCAGATGGTTTTCTATAAAATACATTTTTACTAAGTCCATGTGTAAACAATTAAAAAAAATGGCAGAATAAGGTACAAATGTAGTGTATTTAATAAACTGTCAACAAGAGCAAAAAAAGAAAAAAAGAAAGAAAGAAAGAAATACACAGATATACAAGATCTTCAATCTAACAACAAAAGACATATAGGTTTAAAAAAAAAAAAACTTCAGGTGTGACATGGTTGAGTCACATAAGACTGCTAGAATCCTCTGGAAATTCAGAGATTTAAGCTGTTGACTGAAGGGATCTGGGATCTGGCTTAGGTCCTGGAGAATAAGTAAGACACATACATGAAGTAAGTGTGTGTGTGTGTGTGTGTGTTTATGTGAATGTGTGTGGGTCAGGGAGGAAGGAGAGCAGAGCAGATAGAGAGCAGACTGGGCAAAGGTGGTGCAGTATAAAAGACCAAGAAGTGTTTTGGGAAAACAGAAATACAAGAAAAATGTGGGAAGGAGAATGTGAGCCCACTGCTGAGAATCTGGAACAGCGCACGTTCCCTACAACTGGGACCATTTAGTCACTCAGAGAGCGTGCCTTAATCACACGCTCTGTGGTAGGCCCTGGGACAGAAATGGTGAGCTACAGGAAGAAAAACATGGCATGGTGCCTTGCTTTGGCCAATGCCATGATAACATAATACCATGGAAATTTATATTTCTAAAATTATGTTTCAGAAATATAATTTAAACTCAAGGAGAATTTATCAACAGCAAAACACAAAAATGACAAAAACTAATGTCAGGGCTGTCTCTTTGTTATTGCTGTGTGACAAATTATCCCAAAACTTGAAAAACAATTATCTGCTTACTGCTTCACAGTCCTGCAGTAAGGGCGAGAGTGACGGAAGCAGCTCTCTCCTTCTCCTGTGGTGTCAGCCGCTGGGGTCTGGGGTTCAGGTTCGTCTGGACCAGCCAACCTGTGTCATGTATCTCGGCCTCAGACAGCGGAGACTGCATTTCCCGTTCTCCACCCAGGGCTCTCAGACGTTTCCCTTTGTTCCTGGTAATTTGGTTCTGGATTCAGTGGCTGGCTCCCACCAGAATGTAAAAGAGGAAGCTGCCCAGGTTTTGAGAACTGGCACAGTGTCCCTTCTGTCACATTCTAATGGGTAAAGCAGGTCACAAAATGAGCCCAGACCTGCGGGCAGAGGATTGCACACAGCATGAATATCAGGAGGCAGGATTCATTGGGAGCAGAAAGAAGACAGTTGGGATCCTAAAGTCATATAGTCCAGCAGCATCTCCCACAGCTGTATTTAACTAAAGGATGTGAAATGCATAGATTTCTTTTTACATCAGAGCACATAACCCCACCCACCTCACCCTGTCCCCACATTTTTAAGTGCCAGTAAGACACAGTCATTTTCCATGTGCCTCACTGGTTACTTAATGGAATGTATTAGATTCTAAACCAACCTTACAACATCCGGGCAGGGAGAGAGCTCAGCTCAGACCCATCCCACCTGTTCCTGACACTGTGTCACTCCTAGGAGCACCCATTGTCACTTCTGCTTCCAAACAGGAAGAAAAAGACCCTCTCTGTGCCAGGCGCCTGCTTGCTCTTTTACCATCTACAATGCCTGAATTTTCCCAGGATGTCTCTAAGCACCCTCTCTCCTCCCAGCCCAGTTCCTGGGAGCCAGGGCAAAAACCAGTTCCTAATTCTCGGAGTCCATTTCAGATCCCTCTACAGTTTTTATGATTGTGCTTTCCATCCTCGATGATCTGTCTTTCCATCTCCAAAACTGAGCACAAGACCCCACGCATAGCTCAGTACCATGTGCAGTGGTGACCTCAGAATTACGATGGAGGGGCAGTCTGGTTGGTAGGAAGGAGGAGAGGGAGAGTATGCAATTTTTTCTTGAAATATTATGCTTTTTGTGACAAGATCTCACTATGTTGCCCAGGCTGACCTCAAAGCCGTGGGCTCAAATAATCCTCCGATCTCAGCTCCCACGTAGCTGGAACTACAGCCAGCATCACCAGGCCCACCTAAAACTTTTAATAGGGGTGGCGAGGCCCCTCAGATAACTAGAACTGGTCCACAAAAAAAATCAGCGTATACTCCAGAAAAGATTAATAAAAGTATACACTTGCTCACTTAATAACAAAGCACATTTGGCGTGTACACACAAGAGCAAAAGCTAACTGGGTTAATAGAAAAGCAAAAGCTAAGAAAGTTTTTTGTTTGCTCTATTTTTCACATTTCTAACTACCCCTCAATGGTTCCATGAAGAGTAATTGTACACGGGCCCCAGAAAGCAGACGCACGGATTCAAATGCTCTCTCCATCATTTATTTTGAGCAAATTACTTCATTTTTCCACACTTAGGCCTTTCATCTGCAAAGTGAGAACAATATAAGTGTCTGTCTACCTCATAGGGTTGTTATGAGTACTAAGTAATACTTGAAGAAAGTTCTTAGATAATACCTAATAAATTGTAACCACTCAATAAAGTGTGCTTAGTATTTTTATTCCATAAGTTATCCTCAGCCTGAGAATGTTCAACGCATGCTTCATTGATTTTTTTTCTTTGTTAGTTCTTTTTAAAGGTGATTGTGAAGACAATGAGTTTTTAAGATGGTGAGAAACTGAAGATTTCCCTGCAAACTACCTTCTTGGTATCTTGGCCAACTGTGAGTCATAGCAGGAAAAGGTACCAAGAGCACATAGCAAAATATCAGTAGCAAATACATATTTTGAAAAAACATACCTCAGGGTAACAATTACTCTCCTAAGTCATAGAAGTTAAATATTAGAAATATAAGGTCATTGACAGAGATGAACTTCAAAAGGAAATAACTGAGAAATAGCACTGAACCCACATGTATCTTCCGTGATTTTAAGAAAAATGTCCCTTCTCATCAAACCTGTGTAGGGAGAAAGATATATGTGAAAGCAATTCAGAATCCCGCGTTGGGCCTCAGCGTACGATTCCACGTATTGTTTCTGACCTCAGTTTCTTTCCTGACATCCTCTTTTCTACTACAGTCACAAGAGGTGAGAAGAAGAGGCACCCAGTGAGACAAAACAGAGGGCACATGACGGCCCCAGCAGGACACTCGAGCGAGACCATTTTCCTGCCCTCCATGCTTACAGAATTTTATTTGCGTAGAAGAACTGCAGGAGCTCCGGATGATAGTGGCTCTGAAAAAAATTGGCAAAGGCACATGTGAGGGAGGATGCAGTAAGTCCTCTTGACTACATCACTAGTAGACAGTTGTCAACATGGGGCATGAGGATAAACAACAGGAGTGACAGAAGCAGCATCACCTAAACTAGAACTGCCCATACACTTCGTACATGGTCTTCCGGGTATGTTGCCGTTTGCATTGCATTATGGGTCAATTACAATGGAAATAATTGGCCTGAGTCATGTTGGGGGTGGTGACTCCCTGCCCTGCTTGGCCACCTGCCATGTTAAGTACCAGGAGGACAAGGACCTGAGAATTCCCTCCTGCCCCAGTTCACTCACCAGCTGCCGACAGAGTTTGGGGTTCCTTTGTTCTTCTTCGTTCTGGAAGCTGTACTCCTTCCTCAGTTTCAGATATGGAGAACAGGCTCGAACAGTTGTTTTACAAGCCTGAGAAAAATAATAATACCATCTTATGTTGAAAATGTGAGGAGAGTTCTAAAGCGAAAGCAGGGATACCCCACAGGAATGTACCCAATCTACGGTCAGGGCTACTGAAGAGTTAAAGTAACTTTCAGGATGTTTGCAAACTTGAGCTTAAACAAATGCTTATGAAATGGCAAGTCTATTGTCTAAGAGTTGGTGGGGGCTGTAGAGCTTCACAGTTTACACAACTCCTTATCACAGTAGTACCAAATTCCTAAACTCACCCTCATTCCCTCCCCCTCTCTCCTTCAGGTTTTCCTCTCCCTCTCTCTCAATCAGAAGCTAAGGGATTGGACCATGGATATAGCTCAGTTGCATATCATGCCTCACAAGCATGAGGTTGTGAGTTCAATTCCTGGTACAAGAAAGAAAGAAAGAGAGGAAGAGAGAGAAAGAAAGAAAGAGAGAAAGAGAGAGAAAGAAGAAAGAAAGAAAGAAAGAAAGAAAGAAAGAAAGAAAGAAAGAAAGAAAGAAAAAAGAAAGAAAGAAAGAAAGAAAGAAAGAAAGATAGATAGATACGGGGTTTTGTAGGACACTTTGCTCCCATTGGTTTTGAAACATTCACTCAGCCAGGCATGGTGGCGCACACCTGTAATCCCAGCACACGGGAGGCTGAGGCAGGAGGATCGTTGTGAGTTCGAGATCAGCCTCGGCTACAAAGTGAGCTCAAGGCTAGTTTAAACTCCATCACGAGACACTGGTTCAAAAGGACCAAAAAAGAAAAAAAAAGAAAGAAAGAAAGAAAGAAAAAGGAAAAAAGAAACATTCACTCAGTCCCACTCCAAATCAGGCTTGAAGTTGATCTAACCCTGTTAGGAACATTTTCTCCAAGAATAAAACAAAAAAATCCATACGGAGTTGAAAAACCAAGAGCAAGAAATTGTACCAGGCACAGTGAAAAAAGCTAACTGGGGGTAAATAAATACACTCATTCAGTGGGCTGCTGCCCACTGATTAAAGCCACTCCCTCTGCCCCACCTCTCATGAACTGAGCTTATCCAGTCCTCACAGGTGTTGGATTGGGCAGGTGAGAAAGAAGCAAATGGAAAAGGACATCCTTTCTCAAGCAGGAAGTACACGGGAGACCTCTTTTCTGGAATTCACAAGCATATGCTGCTAAGTGGCCCTGGTGTAAAGCAGGAACCCAAGGTTTTGGCATCTCAACTCCACAGGGCTGCCTCACATCCCCTCTGTGCAACAGAGATTTCATGCTGTTGGATGGAGAATCACAGTCTTACCTTGGCAACCTGGGGGTTTCTGTCCCGTAAATGAGTCAGGAGGGAATCTTGTGTCTGCTTCACCTGACTGGTGAAAAATTTCTTCCATTTCCGCCCAGCGAAAGCAGCCAGTTGCCCAAACAAAACAAAGGCTGAATATCTCACACTGTCGTTCTCCTGTGGGTTTCCATGAGCAAAACAACAGAGCAGGTCACAACCAAAAGGCAACTGCATGAGGCACAGCACAGTCATCACTCTTGGAGGTACGTAACAGGGCGACATCAGACTCAGAGCACTTTCTGTCTTCTGTACACGCGTAGACACATACTATCACACTGGTGTTAGCACCTTGGTTTCTCTGTCAATTTATTTAAGCCCTTCCCATGTCAACATTTGAAGGACTTTTTTTTTTCTCTCCCCTTTCTCTTTCTTTTCCGCATCATCATTCACTGGATCAGTCCCTTATTCCTTACTTTCAGCATTTTTGCCAGGTCACCTCTCTGCTGTTGGTCGAATTCCTCCCACTTACAGGGGAAATAAGGGCCTTGCCTCTCCCCCTTACACCCTCCCAGTGCTCCCGACTTTTAGTCAAATGGGTCAGTTCCTCCCTGGTCACATGTCAGCTGGCTCAACCCTTCTTTGCTTTCCCAGGTAAGCTCTTTGCTTCACATCTTTCTCTTTCCAGATGAGGAGTCTGTGGCCCAGGGCATTTCAGCAACGTGCCTCGAACTGCCCTTCAGGCAACACACCCGGTGCTGGGGGAACCCAGCCTCTTGACTCTGTGTGCACAGGTTTTTATACTAGTGTTCTGCGGAGTAACTCCAGGTGAACCAGAGGGAAAAAGACAGGGCTGGGTCTCCTCAAGGGCAAGGAGTACCCAGAACACAGAGACTAAGCAAGACAGAGGACCACTAATCATTTTGTGACGTCTTTAAAAATAGTTTAGCATGTGTGACACCTATAGAAATTGCACCAGGGTTGCTATTTTGTCCACTGATCTAGTGGTGTGTTTCATTCAACTCAGCTAACACTTATGGAGAATTTATCCTGTCCAACACCCTCCCCAAATACTGAGATGTGCAGAAGGCTAAGACAGGTGTCGGTCCCCCAGGAATTTGACAGTCACCCCACAGGGGCGCATGCATGGGTGAACGTGGTGCAAGGCACACAGTGAAGAGCACTAACTCTGATGGAGATAAAAGTCATCAGGGAACAGCTCTACATGAGAATGTTCCTGTTCTACACGGCCAAGGTTTCCACGGCCAAACATGACATGCTAGTAGAGTTTCAACAATGGTCAAATGGAGAACAAGTCCTGAAGTTCAGAAAGGAACTCTACAGAGAGTTAAGGACCAGTACCCAAAACATCTGCTGACATTCCAGGGTGGCGAGGCAGCCATCTTCCTCTCCACTTCTCAAAGAAGACTGGTTTGCATTCATTTGAGAGCAAAAATCCACACCCCCCCCCACCGCCTCTGTCTCTGGAGGAAGGACAGAAAACCTGCCAGCAGCGCCTATGAAAACTCCAAGCTTCATAGTCTCAAGGCCTCTTATTCTTTTGTGGAGCTGATACAGCTACCTGGCACTGTGTGGCTCCATGGAGACTCAAGAGTGTGGGGAGCTGATGCCAGGTGCTTGGGCAGAAAATAAGAAGTCTGCTCCCTGTGCAACAGGTCTTATCTTTCAGAGAACGACTGGCCGGCTAAAGTGATAGCTTGCAAGCCAGGTGTCTCAGGCGCTTCACGATTGCAGGTTAAGTCCTGTACGAGTGTTCTCCTTGCTTGGCCCATCTTGTCACCTGCTAGTTGACAGTGCAGGTGTTACGGCCAGAAGGTCTGCCTTCGTGGCCACTTACTGCTCTGCAAACCTGGAGCAGGGTCCCACCTCTCTATGTTTTGGTTTCCTCATCTATAAGGTGAAGGTAGTCACAGGTCCTACCCCACAGGCTACTGTGAAGATGACATGAGCTAATCCATGTAAACTGTCTAGCACTGTGTGTGGCTCACAGGTAGGGCTCACTGAATGCTAACTGTTGTCATTGTTGCATGTGTAAGAGAACACTGACTATTATATTGATATATACATATATTCACTTCTCTATTAACATAAAAACCTTCTGAGCAGAACGAAGGGATGCTATACAACTTTTATGTCCTCCGTAATCCACACACACACAGTACTAGCACTCAACAAGATTCATAAATAAGTGATTGATACAGACCTTGTTCCCTGAGCAACACACTAAGTGGTACTCCCCTTTCTAATCCCACTTTGATGTCAGTAACCCAGAATTTTTATGAATCGTCTCACTTACATCATCCAGTAAAGTCCTGGTCTGAAGGGTGATGTCTATGAAGAAGGAGCCCAGACCTTTCCCCTGGATCTTGCCCAGGATGACGGTCAGAGCCTTCATACTCTCGTGGATGACTTCAGAACTCACAGGGTCGTACAGTCCGTGCACCAGCAGGTCTAGCATAATTTTCTTATACTTTCTCACCTGTTATCAAGGTTTGACAAGCATTAGTAGCCCAGGAATCGCCCTCTATGAATTGAAAAGCAGTGCCGCTTCCAGTCCTCCAGTAACCTAGGTCTTGTACTGAGTGATCACGGCGTTCTTCAGGATCTGCCACGACTCTCATCAAAACACAAATGCTTCCGTTTACCCAATCCAAGAGCCCAGCTCACTTTGGTAGGACAAAAGAAAGCACAAGCTGGATGAGTAGGTGAGGGGGCCACAGGGTGGTGGACTGTGTGACCCAAGGGCTTGGGGAGTACTAGTTACCTTATAACGGGAGGTCATAAAATGGTACTGAAATTGACAGATGCTAAAGGAAGAGATGTGAACAGAACTTTATTACTGAAGAAATAAAGATTATGAGAACATTTCCGAGGAGGGTGATGTCAGCATGCATCAGCTCTGCCTGCGGCTCTGTGTACCATGGCTGATGATGGTGAAGAGCGATAGGCCTAAAATGACCCTGACTAAGTCAGACCTTTGTACAATCTGCTCCTCTTACACACTTGCTTCTAGCCTAATAGAATATGCAAAGGTAGCAAGATGTAGCTCTGGTGGCTACTTTGTATTAAAGAAGACTCCACTGCAGCAGATATGAGTGCGAGACACCCTCCTGCTGGCCTTGAAGAAATAAGCTGCCCTGGTGTAAAAGGGTGACCTGTGGGCACTGGGAGTGACCCCCAGCAGACAACCATCAAGAAAATAGAAACCTCAGTCCTTCAGTTGGAAGAGCTGAATTATGCCCCAAAGCACATAAGCTTGGAGGAGTGCCCTGAGCTTCAGGGAGGAACACAGTACGGCTGACCCAAGCTTTGCAAGATACTGAGCAGAGAACCCAGCTGAGCTATAAGACCCTTGATCCACAGACACTGTGAAGTAACAAACACACACTGCTCTGCGCAGCTAAGTGTGTGGTGATTTGTTACACAGCAGCAAACCAATCCATGAGGTACGGTGCTCCAGCCTTGTGGACCCACACGTGAACACCAGAGGGGCAGGAAGATCGGCTGAGTTCACCTCCCTTCCCTACCTGATTGGGGGCTTCACAGGCCATGGTGCCCAGACCTCTCATTGCCAGATGGCGCTTTTTAGCACTGGGGTCCCGGGCTCTTTCTGCCAAGATGAAAAACACATTCTTCAAAGGCTCCCGCTTCTGGAACCTCAGTCTCCAAGAAACCTGGGTGGTAGGTCAAAAATGTATTAATTGGGGACTAGAGTCATCCTCTGAGCCCAGACTTAACCCTATCTCTTCTCTGTAAAGAGAATCCTATCATTGCCTGCTCAGTTTTGCCCTTCATCCTCCAACTAAATGCTGTGTGTGTGTGTGTGTGTGTGTGTGTGTGTGTGTGTGTGTGTGTTTACCTGGGATCAAACGCAGGGCCTTATATATGCTGAACATGCACTCTACTATTGAGCTAAGACCCCATACCCTAGAGGTGCCTGATTTAGTTAGAAAAATACATTAATTTGTTCTGTATCTTGAAAAAAGTGATGGAGGAAGAGCAAAGAAAGTAGAAAAATAATGCAGGACTTCTGCTGAGGTGGGTTTGGGAAAATTATAGAGATGCTCTACAGGCTTGGTAGGTTGTGACAGAAGCTGAGAAAGAAGAATCCTATAGGGGTTGATGTGAGAATATGGACCCTTTTCATGGTATAAGAGATGCTCTTATCCCTCTACCCTTAAAGATGCTCTTCTTCCTCCAGCTCCTCCCATTTTTCTGCTTTACTTCCTAGCTAAATAAATGCCTAGAAAAACAGTACTTCTTTCTCCAATCTCTCTGTCTCTCTGTCTCTGTCTCTGTCTCTCTCTCTCTCTCTCTCTCTGTTTTTGTTTTTTGAGACAGGGTCTCACTGTGTAATTCAGGCTAGTCTTGAACTCACTATGTAGCCCAGGATTGCCTCAAACTCTCAACAGTCCTCTTGCCTCAGCCTCCTAAGTGCTGGGATTAGGCAGGCACCACCACACCCCGCCCCTCCTGTTCTCCCTTGAATTTTCTGCAATCAGGCTGATGTTCCCCCACCTTCATCTACTCTATGGCTAATTCCAGGGGCCATTCTCAGTAGTTATCTTACTCAAGCTGCCAACAGCATGTGACAAATTGGCAAAGCTCCTCAGCAAGTATCTGTTAGCCTTCTACAACCATCTCAGGGCCCTTACAGGTCACCCTAAATCCAGAATGCTTGCATCTGAGCAGTTAAGATTAGGAAGAGGAATGCATAAGTAATTCAAGTCAGGAAACACTTTGAGTCTGATGCAGAAACCTGTGCTTTAAAGACTAAACTCTGAGTAATTGCAGGGCGAGACATGAGGTGCTATCTGTAGTAAGCAGATAAGCTCAGGTGCCAGGAAGGCCCTGGTGTTCTTCAAACACAGAACAAGGCAACCAGTAGTAGAGTCAGAACCAAGATGATGAAAGATTCAGACAAGATCAGGGGCAGGGCATGGTGGTGCACTCTTGTAATCCCAGCACTCGGGAGGCTGAGGCAGGAAGATTGTTGAGAGTTCGAGACCAGCCTGGGGTACAAAGTGAGCTCAAGGCCAGCCTGAACTGCATAATGAGACCCTGTCTCAACAAGTCCAAAAAAAAAAGATCAGGAACAAAAGCCACCCTCCCACCATCCTCAGTAAGTGTGGAGCAGAATAGATGCAGATCTAGTCATTTCTATAGCACTATCAACAAGCTTGGGTAATTTCCAAATCTCATCGTTATTTCTCAATATTCATTGCAGTTCATTCTACATTTTTGAGTCAGCAAGTTAAATCCTTCTCAACACATCTTTGTGTCTTCCTACAATCTATGTTAAAATAATATATTGGTTTCAGAGAAGCCCTCAATGGGGCAGACCGAGCAGGCACACGTCTTCCGGGAAGAGGTGTCTGTTCATGACACTTTGTATCAGACCTTAGAAAAGAAAGATATTATTGCTGTCCTTTTCTTCTTGGGCTTGGAAGTAGGAGTGGAAAGGGGTTGGCCCAGGAGTCTCTGTGTTTGGTCCATGGAACTAAAAAAGAGAAGTCAAAATCATCACATGAACCCCGAACACCCATGAGCGGCCTGCCATTAAACACTGCTGTCCACAGCGCCACCTGGGTGAGAACAGAAAGAGGCAATCACCCAAGAAATATAACTCAGATTTCTGGCCTCATCCACAGACTCCTCAAAACTTGAAGAAAAGAATAAACTCAAACTTTGTCTTTTTTAAAGCTTCCCAAGAAGGAGTTCTATATCTTGTTGTCTTAAGAAGTACCTACTCTTTCATTTAGCAAGTCTTTAATCCTACAGATATTATTAACCGTCACCTAGTCCAGTGACTGCTCCTCAGATTCTGTGGTCGGCTTTAAAAATCATCAGAGGGCCGGGGATATAGCTCAGTGGCACAAGCTCCTGCCTGGCAAGTGCAAGGTCCTGAGTTCGATTCCCAGTACCCCCCCAAAATAAAATTAAATTAAATAAATTAAAATAAAATAAAATTCATCAGTGCCTAGGCCCAGCCTTGATCTGGGGCAGTCAGAGCATGGGATGTTTAAGAGTTCCCTGGGTGCTTCTGAGAGAATCAGAGTTGAGGACCAGGACTAAATGAAGCCACCTGCCTGTCATTTCTTCTATTAAAAAAATACAAACACAAAACACCCCAAAGTCAATGGCTGTAATGAAGTTGGTCCCCTACCAATCCCACATACAAAAATGAACTCAAACTGATCAATAACCTACATAGAAGAGCTAAAGCTGTAAACCTTGTAATTTATACTTTCAACAAACTCCCAGGGGACACTGGAGTGCAGCTGGCCTAGGACCACACTTTGAGAACTGCTGCAGAGCCAGGCATGGTGGCTCAGGCCTGTAATCCCAGCACTCGGGAGGCTGAGGCAGGAGGATCATTGTGAGTTCGAGGCCAGCCTGGGCTACAAAGTGAGCTCAAGGCCAGCCTGCACTGCATAGTGAAACCCTGTCTCAAAAAAGACAAAAAAAAAGAGAACTTCAGGAAGAGAAAGAAATCTTACAGCATCAGGAGTAATTCCCCTCAAGAAGAAGGGGCTGGGGATTTAGCTCAGCGGCAAAAGCGCCTGCCTGGCAAGCACGAGGTCGTGAGTTTGGTTCCCAGTACCAGAGAAAAACCAAAAAAAGAAAAAAAAGAAAAAAAAGAAGAAAGGGATTAGAAACTCATATCAAGGCAAAAAAAAAAAAAAAAAATACATTATTTCTTTCTTCCCATGATCTTCTGTTTCAGTGGGACCTGCCACTCCTCGCATGCAGTGCTCTGCATCAGAGCTGACAGACGCCTGCCCAGTGGGTACAGGGGACTTAAAAGAAGCACAGGTCCCGCAGGCTGGGAGTCTGGTGGCCAAGGAGGTCCCAGCCTCATTGTGAAACAGCAGGCGTCTGTGTCCCAAGGCATAAGAAATCACGCCTTGGAGCTGCTCTCCACTGCGAAGGAAAACAGCCTGCTCCCTTATTTGTCATGCTCAGCTTCTATTGCAAGATTAGCAGGGCAGTCAAGGGCTTCAGCCAGGCTAAATGGCTTCCCCAGACTTCTGAAGCCAAACAGCCAGCCTCGTCTTAACAGGCAGGTCTAGAATTCAAGATCAGGGAAGGCTCTCGAGCAGGGCAAAGTGAAGGCGAGCTCAGCCATCCTTTCTGGAGGATTCAGTCTGTGGTGAGAGACTCAGGGAGGCTGCACCCTCAGCTCACCCCCGTTCCACAAGCCCGTCCCATCTCCTTGCTCCCGTCACAAGCTAAACACTGATGTGCTCAACCTTGCATGTTGTCTCTGAGAGCTCATCTGGATCTCTGGTGCAAAAGCAAAGCATTTCTCACTGGGGTGAGGGGGCTCCTCTGTCAGCCCCCCTGGTATATGTTACAAACTCCAGGCAACCCCAGGAGTACTAGGTCAGAGTCTCAGGGAGCATCAGGCCTGCACATTGCACTTTTCATGCAAGGTGCCTAGTAGCTGTATACACAGCTTGGTCTGTGCTAGAAATCAGTCCCAGGATTGGCTACTCCAGGAAGCTGAGCCCAGGCGTCAACAGAGACCCCAGCAGTCACAGGGGAGAGAGGGAAGCACGTTGGTGTCTTTGCAAACAAAGGACTGATGGCACATGTTTGTGGGACACGATGAATTTTACTGTAGCTAGGGTTTGAGTTGCTGCGTCCGTTCCAGAACTCATGTTGACATTTAATCATTGTGATCTATTAAGAGGTAAGACCAGATTCAGCCTTTAAAAGGTGGTTAGGGTTCTGCTCTCATGAATGGATTGCTCCACTGATGTGATTAAGAGATTCAGGGGTTAAAAGGTTATCTCAGTGGGTCTGCTATAAAAGCCAGTTTGGCTGGATTTCTTTTATGCTCCCCGTTCCTCACCTGTGGATATGCAGCCGCACCTTGGAACCCACCAGTAAGAAGGCCGTCACCTGACGCAACCCTTTGAGCCTGATACGTTTCTTCTCTTTATAACTTTCCATAGTGCTGTGCAACAGAGAATGGGCTAAGATAACTGTCAAAATGAAACCATGTGGGGGCTGGGTGTGGTGCCCACCTGTAATCCCAGCTACTTGGGAAGCTGAGGCAGAAGGATCGAAAGTTTCAGGCCAGTCTGAGCAACCCGGAGGGAACCCTATTTTGAAATTTTAGAAAATTTTTAAAGGACTAAGGGTGTAGCTCAGCGCTAGAGTACTTGCCTAGCCCTCAATCCCTGGGAGGAAAAAAACAACGGTGAGAATAGGGTGGCGTAGCTCAGTGGTAAAGTGGGAGCTTAGCATGCACAAGGCCATGTGATCAATCCCCAGCACTGTCACCAACAACCAAAAACACAGTAAGCTGTGCAACTATGATCTGAGCACTTCTAGGGTTCTATCCTTAAAGGTTTCCTTAAAATAAATAAAAGAAGCTAAGAGTTAATTCAGGGTCACAAGGCCCTCACCAGAGCTTTGTATCTCCTGAGCTTGTAGCTTCTTAAGGGACCTGCACCACCCACGGGTCCTTCCTGCCTACACCCCTCTCCTCCCTCTCCTCCAACAAGTTATGTCCTTTCTCCCCAGTCCAATCAAAACAAAAGATCATTTCCATCTGTTGTAACACAGGATGTCAGAGAGGAACATTTTAAACCTACTAGGAATGAACGGGTACACAGATTGCAAGACTTCTTAGGTGTCTGATTCTTCCTACATGCCCTGAAACAGTCTTACAGTGACCTTTCCCATTAGAGGGAAGCTTTTCTGGTCGCTGTCTACAAGTATCATAGGTGCTTGGCCTGGCGTGACCAGGACTGGGAAAACCACGCAGCCAACCTGGTTGTGCGTGTGGCTTTGCTCACCCTGTGCACATGGTTTGATGAATCCTTCTTCCTCTGGGAAAGGATTCTTGTGTGCCCTGGGACCAGATCCCTGGTCTTCATCAACATGTCCTTGTTCTATCCGCTCGTACCAAAAAGAAACGGATTCAGGGTAACAGTAGCTTGTTCACTGCCAACTCCCAGATGCCTTTTCAAATGTAAATCCGTCCTACTCAAATTCTGAACAATACTATGAAAGCCAAACTTACAAACACTTGGATCTTCTTCTCATCTGTAAAATGAGAGAAGAAATTTATATTTCTAACAATCCTTTCAACTCTGAACTCATTAATGATAATAATATGCATAGTTACTAGCTATGGGTGGACATTTTTGTATGCTACACTAGATTAAATACAGAGTTCACCAAAAAAATGTATACACACTTCAGGAAAAGAAAAATATGATGATTTTTTCAATAGAAGGTGTTACCCTCATAGGGGGGACCCTGGAGGATGTCACAGAAAACCCACCACACTGCCAGCCCTTACAGCAGGAATGGGAAATGCAGGTGCAGCAATCTCAGTGACCAATGTTACCCAAGCAGCAGTTCACCGTATGTCTGGAAGCCAATGTCCAATACTTCGAGCACCTCTTGTAATTGAGGAGGCCAAAGGTAACTTGTATTGATCTCATGATTTCTCAATAAATTTAGTACTAAAATGTTTATTCAAGTTTTTCTTTTTCTGAAGTGTGCATACATTTTTTGGGCAGACTCTGTATTTAATCTCCGCTCAATTATCACGGCCAGGTACCTGGATTCTCCAGGCGGTCTACGAACTATACCAAATACTGCTCTGGCTGACTGCAGTCAGTCCTCCTGCTCCTGCGAGCTACATGCCTCCCAAGAATCAGTTCACAGCCGCTGCGCTTGATATTCAGACTGCGAAATGTATTTATTATTTTAACATTTTTACTTATTTATTGCTGTGCTGGGGATAGAACTCAGCCTCACACGTGTTAGGCAAGTGCTGTACCACTGAAGTACACTCCCAGACCTATAGCTATGAAATTTAATCAAACATTGTATGAACTGTCAAGATATGAATACACAAGGGAAGGAAGATGCTTCTCTGAATGCGGGGTGGAATTTTCAGAAGGATCCCGCAAGGGGAAGCTGCTACTTAGGAATGTGGACCGTAAAAGTTTGGGGAAAGCTCCAGTGACCCAGAATGATTTTGGGAGCTGAAATGACCCTGTAGAAAGTGACATTATAAGTGCCTTCCGGGCACCTTTAGGTTCTCACTGCATTTGAAGAAGCCAAAGCTACAAAAAAAAAAAAGTACTATGCATGTGATTAATGAAACAAAGCAACCCAAAAAAGTGGACCGGCGGATCCATATTGGAAGAAAAGGCTGTAGCCTTCATAACGACTCTATATTTTCTGGTACAGTATTTGGAGTTTTTACAGTAGCATCTTTCCTGCTACTCTAACCAACTTCTTCGTTGACTCTGAATCCAATCCCATTCTCCCAAATAAGAGAGCTTTACCGTATTTCACTTACTCCTCACACTGACCTTGAGAGGTAGGGTTAATGATCTTCATTTTAGGAAGTAGGAAACTGGGCCTTAGAGTAATGTTCAACAATTCACCAAAGTCAAACGATAATGGCAGAGAGGAGCTCCAGACCACAAAGTCTACATTTTTATCCCCATTTTATAGTTTATGTCCAGCTTGTAGACAATGCCCTGTATCCTGATCAAGTGTGTAGTCGCTTCTGTTTGAAGAAAGCACCAAAGTCTTCCCGTCAGTCCCTCCCATCCTAAAGCTCCTGCTGACAGAATAATGCCCCGTAACCCAATCGGCTCCAGGATCAACACTGCCCACTTGGGTTTTCCAAAGGGAACATCACCAGCTAGTTACATACTAAGGATCCAGCTCCCTGACAGTGACCAGCGTGGCCTCCTAGGAAGGTTCCGGGAGCCAAGGAGCCGCCCGGCGGCGCCCTCACCTGCGGTCCGGGCGGTCACGTGACGAGCGCTGCGCAGGCACTCCTGGGTGCTCGGTGCTCGGTGCTCGGTGCTCAGAGGGCTGCTGTTCCTGGCTGGCGGCGAGATGTGATGACTCGGCTAGGTCTTCCTAGCCCTGAAGTCCTAACGCACAAAAAGGGAAATTAGAAGGTGAAGCGGGGTCAGCTGGGAATAACGGGCCAGCACAGAGTGGTGGAAAGTGCGAATCGAGTGAGGGGGAGAAAAATCAATGTGTGTTTGGCGGCGAGGTGGGGGAGGGAGTCGCTCTCGAGTGACACCGGCAAGGTTGTTGCAAACAGCACAGCCATCGCCCGTGCCCTTTGAGTCCCTGCACTGTGCTGAGGTGTTTCTCCCTCCACCCCACCCCACTACCGCCCCATAGTCTTCCCTCCTGTCCAGCCTCACCCCGACTTTCTCCAGAAACGACGCTAATTCTAAGGCCCTTTCCCTGCACCAAAGGACACGGTTCTGCCCAGCGCCATTGCCTCGTTCTGCCACTAGATGGCGGCATGCCTCAACTCGTGGCTTCCAGGCTCCGGTGTAAAGCCGAATTTTTACTGAGATGGGACAATATTCGTCCCAAGCAGCCCCTAGTGACTGTCGAACCTACGACTAGCGCTTTAACCGTTGAAGCCCCTTTCCTGCTCAGCAAACATTATTTGTCCCCAAAGGAGCGATTTGAACTCCCCATAGTTTAAATGGTTGGTTGGTTGGTCTGTTGTGTTTTGTTTTTTTGTTTTTTTCCAGGACCAGGAATCGAACTCACGACCTTGCGCTTGCCAGGCAGGCTCTGTGCCGCTGAGCTAAATCCCCAGCCCCTAAATGGTTTATTACTAAAAGCAAAAGGACATAAAAATCTGGATGCTCCAGTCCCTGCAGATACTCAGGGCTCCCTCAGCCGTCATTGCTCTTTCACTGGGCAATCCAACAGTGTGGAAACCTAGGTATCAGTGATTAATTACTGTCTGGCCTTGGGTTGGGTGATGAGGGCAATATGTCCTAAAGGGGCAGTGTGGGTGAAGGTCTGTTTTCCAAGACCTAGGAGCTTATTGGTTTTTGTTTTGGTTTGGTTTGGTTCTGGGGGCTGAACCCAGGGCCTTTGCACTGCGCTACATCTCCAGCCCTGTTTTTATTTTTACATTTCGAGACAGGGTCTTGTTAAATTGCACAGGCTGAGCTTGAACTTGTGATCCTCCTACCTCAGCCTCCCAGGGTGTTGGGATAGCAAGTGTGGGCACCAGGACTGGCTAGGAGCTTATTGTTATACCAAGAGATAACATGAATGAATGCTTTCATATGCCAAATATTGCAGCAAATACTGTACAGACTGCCCCAGTCAATTTTAACTTCAAACCAAGATAAGAGCTCTTCCTGTCACCCCTATTTTAAAACTAGGGAAACTGACGCAGGAGAAATTACTTTGCCAGAGGTCATGCAGTTGGTTAGTGGCAGAATTAAAAGTCAACCGCACGCTCACTACTGCAAGAGCTTGGACTCTCTGGCAGGATGCTATGCTGTGGACCAGTCTGGAAAATCCTATGTGGACAGCTGTAAACCGGAGAAGTACATCAGAGTATAGGAAAGAAAACTCTTGCTTCTGGGAAAATAAGAATGAAGGTAAAACAAAGCCCCCCTGGACTGGGCTCCAAGGGCACCGCTGCTGACTTTGGAGGATGCAATTTCAAAGGTGTTGATAAAAAGGAAATGAGACTGCCAAGCCAAGGGGCCACGGGGAAAGAGGAACTTGAGATGTCTTGCTGCAGAAGGAAAGCAGTCAATAGATGAGAAGAGAGAGCGAGGTCAAGGAAAGGCACTCTGGTTTTCTTGTGTACTTTTAAAAATAGAATGAAGACGGGTGTGGAGGTGCCTGCCTGTGATCCTCGCAGGTGGGCGGCCAGGGCGAAAGGACCTCCAGCTCGAGGCCAGGCTGGGCTACATAGCAAGTTCAGGACTAGGGAGACTTTGTCTGGAAAAAAAAAAGAAAACAAAACAAAACCATAAAAATTAAAAATAAAAATAGAATAAAGCCTGGGCATATTTGAAAACAGTTGCAAGGGAACGCTGAAGTATGGACAGCATGTAGTAGTGACGGTATAACAGAAGGGTACAGAAGGAGGAAGTGGGGTTACAGAGAAAGACTGTGAGTCTGAAAAACCTCACCCATAAACCAGAACTAAACTTTGCACTCTGCGTGGACAGAAGCATGACAGAGCCGCGAGGGACTGGCGGGAGCGAACCCACGACCTTGTGCTTACCAGGCAGGCGAGGTGCTGCTGAGCTATACCGCCCGCCCCGTGACTGATTTTATTATGTATTTAGTTGCCCAGTTATTTTTCACGGTGCTGGCTATCAAATACAAAGCTTTGCACATGCTAAGCAAGCACTCTACAGCCCCACACACCAAGATACGCTATTAGTGACCCTTCTTTCCACGGTATGTCGTACTCAATCCCGAAGGCTTTTGCCAAAGTGTCTTGTCTACCGCTACATGGGAAGAACTTGCAGAATTTCCTCGTTTGGCTTAAAGCCACAAAGGGAATCAGGGCCGGAATTGGGCCTGGTCCCCAGAGGCCCTTCTGATCTTGTGGTGGTCTCAGTTCAGCTGTGTCACACGGTCCTCACAAGGGCATAGGTGTAACTCATGACCCCAGAGTGACCCAGACACGGCACCAATGGATGGGGACCCCAAATGAGAGAGCCCACGGCCTTGGGCCACAGCACAGTTCTGGAAATTAGAGTAGGTTTCTCTGGTGATTGATTGTCACTTATTGACATACTGATGACATGAGGTCCTTAAAAATAACACACAATTATTTGATTTAATCATTTAACAGTTCTGCTGTCCATGAACGCCTCCTCTGAGTCAGAGGCATACCGGTGCTACTGCCACTGGGAAAAAATGAGACTGCTGATAAAAAGGGCAACGGGTAAACTACATTGATCAACGCAGCAATCTAGGGTTAATCTGGGGAGATGGGAACACGCGACAGTCACCAGTGAAGTGGTTTATTGTTGGTCTCAGGATTGCCAAAGAACCTCCTTGTGTGAATGACCATTGTCTAATGCAGGAACTGGTCTAAAAGAGATGGATTTACGTTTCCTCCTTTTCATCTTCCTTCAGGGTATACCCTCATAGCGGGCCGAACCTTGTGTAAAGGTAAGGTTCTCACCTTGTCTAAGGTAAGGTAAAATCCGTCTAGCATGGTAGTACATGCCTGTAATCCCAGAACTCTGGGCCACAAGTTTCAGCCTAGCCTGGGGAAACTTAGCCATTTAGTGAGACTCTATCTCAAGATTTAAAAAAAATTTTAAGGGTTAGGGATATAGCTTAGTGGTAGAGTGCTTGCCTAGGATGTGCAAGACCCTGAGTTTGATCTATGGCTCTGAAAAATTAAATAAATGTAACAAAAAAAAAAAGAAATAAAATAAACTGCCTCCACAGCCAAAGATTAGGACTTCCCATTCATTCTTCAAATGTTTACTGCGACCCCACTTCCCTCAGTAGAATGCTCGGTGGTGGGACCAGCACTCTCACTGTCCCCAAGAGAACCAAACAGGACAGAATTTAAGACTGGGCATTTAAGACAGGTGGGGTGATGTACACCCGTAATCCTGGCAGGAAGATCACAGGTTTGAGCCCAGCCTGGGTAACTCAGTGACTTAGGGAGATCCTGTCTCAAAGTTTAAAACTAAAGAAAATTTGGAAACGGTGGGGAAATGCCTAGATGCAAGGGCCCTGGGTTTAGTCCTCAGTAACACACACATATACACACCCACACACACACCCACACACACCCCTGGGCTTTATGTGCCTTTATTGCAAGATGGGAATAGATAAGTGCTGCTGAGAGAATCATGAAAGTTAAAGGGCAACCAATGCTAAAGGGAGGAACCTGTGTACCCGGCCCGAACAGAAGCCGTTTAGTAAGGAAAGACGGAGGGGGAAGCACATCCAGCCTGGCTGAGCCTGGAACCTGTGGACCCCAAACGCTGCCACAGCCCCCTGCAGGGTTACACCTGTCTGCAGCAAACAGGCGTCCTTGGGAGGCTCAACCCTCATGGCACTTTTGCTTCCCACTGCTCTGCACACATTTGTTGTAATGTAAAAGTAATGGTCTTTTTGCTTCAACTCTTTAAACAAACTGCATAAAATAGGACAAAACACTGGGCTTCTTCCAGGACTTCTAACATACTCTGGCACGTGGAGGGGGAGCCTCTTGTGGCAGAGCTACAAGCTTATGACCAGAAAGCTGCCCTCAGTTATCCCCTTGCCCACCAACCCCCCTCTGGCTCTTCAGCCTTTCTTTTCCTGACCTTATTACTTGACAGTCATTTTTATACCAGAAGGCAACAATGGCTTCCACTGGGCCTTAGGTGACCTCTGAAAATGTCATGATGTTCACTTGACCCAGAAAACCCTACAAAATTATGCTAATCAAGAGAATCAAAGCTTCATGTCTCCTCAGGAACACCCAAGAAACTGCCCAGGTCATCCAGCTGGCTTGTGACAATGCATGCCTATAATCCCAGGTATTTGGAGGCTGTGGCAGGAGGATCACAAGTTCAAAGCCAGCCTGGGCAACTTATGGAGACCCTGTCCCAAAATGAAATAAAATAAAATAAAGTAAAATAAAATAAAATAAAATAAAAAGGGCCAAGAATGCAGCTCAGTGCCTCCTGGTCCAATTCCCAGCACACACATGAGTGTAGATATCCAAAAAGCCACCACGCTTCTGAAGGAGTCACTCGACAGAAGCAGTGTAGGCTGTTCCATCATTACAGTGGTAGAGCTCGTGGCTATGATGGAATGACAACTGGTAGTCAACTTGTAACACCCAACTGAACTAAATCAGCATGATGCTAGGTGTGGGAGGTCCACTTGAGGATTGTTGCTGGCAGAATAAGAGGCAGAATTGGAGAAGAAGTTTAGAAGCTGTAGGGAGATGTTGCTTTTCCTGCAGGAGCTTGTCATGCTGGCTTTCCTGATGAATTCAATTGCTATCATCAGAGGAGCTCCGGACTTTGTTGTCTCTGAGGATGGCTGTGGTATCTTTCGGAGAACTCTGGTTCTTACTTTGAGCGTCACTTCCTGGCTCCAGCGCAGATCGCTCAGCATGCTAGCACAGATCCGTTAGCCCACTAGCACAGACTTTCTAGCTTTCACCACTAACCTTTGGGCCTTCCGAGCACATATCCTTGAAATAGGCCTGCATGATACATTGTCGTGGGCTGTTGGCCTCCAGCTGCACTTGCGGGGGCATTGTCATTTATTCTAGATCTTTAGCTAGAGTCATGCAGGACATTGCCATGGGATCCAAGTCCTCAGCTGGATTTGTTTGGTCGTTAGTGTATGGGCACATTTCCTGCACTGTTTTTATATATGATTCATTGGATGACTGTTATAAAATAATTCTTATAAACTATGTGTCCTGTATTATCCCCCTTGCAAACCCTGACTATAACAGTAGGAATACTCAGGCCAGGCAGTTGTGTTAGCATAGGATGTCTGTGGCCCAAAAAGATGCTTGGTTTTTGCTGCACAAGTGTAAAGGTGCAGAGCAATAATGATCTGAAGGGTTTGCTGCAGATCCTTCAATCATTAAGCACATCCAGGTGAACAAAGTCCTCAAAAGATGCACTGTCCTTACAGAGCGCCTGGTTAATTCATGTGTGGTCTTCATGGAAAAGTAACAGATTGCTCCTAAACCAGAAGAAGGAATTACACAAAAGAAAAAATACCCCAGACAGGCATGGTGGTGCACACCTGTAATCCCAGTACTCTGGGAGGATAAGGCAGGAGGACTGAAAGTCTGAGTCTAGCCTGGGCAACTTAACAACTTCGATAAAAACAGGTGAGGAGGTAGCTCAGTGTGATGACCCTGAATTCAATCCCCACGGTGGAGAGGGAAGAAAGAAAAAGACATCCCAGAAAAAAACATACTGCCCAGGAATAAATTCAATGTAATATAAATGTAAGCAACAGTTAAAAAAGAAAAGAAAAACAGAAGCTCAAGATCAAAAACCTTTCCTGCCTGGGCAGGTAATCGCCCCCACGCCATCCATCACCAGAGCTCCTACTACCATAAAGTAGTCTTGAATTTACGTCAACGTTTTCCAGCCCAGCCCCAGGGAATCCACAGCAATGGCTCTGGGAAACGCTCTGGGAAAGGCAGCCTTACCTGAAGTAGAGGACAGGCGCACAGCACTCCCGGGGCAGCCCTTTGTGATCGTCCTGCTGAAAGGCGAATGTAACCAACTCCGGGGACAGCCCTGTCCTCCAGCAAGCTGTGCGCCACAGCCGCTGCGTTGTGTCCTTGAGGATGAAACAAAGAACAGATTAGAGTTTTAGTACAAAAAAAGAGACACAAAATAAAACCTTTTTTTAGGCTATCTGCCTCCTGATAATGGCCAGCAACCCATTGTAGGTCACGCAGTCTTGCAAACGTGTGAGATTCCCAGGTTTATCTCCAGTTTCCGCCAGGCCCACGCTGGAGCTCCCCGCTCTTAGGGCGATAGAGGGCACGGCGGCCCAGAGAGATCTCAACATCCCCAAGTGTCCCTGTGCCCTCTGTCATCTTGGGCTCTCAACTTCGGGGAAAGGGTCATTCTCACGCTCTTCGGACAAGGCGGGAAGGTGAGGGACAGTGAGTAGGGGACTGCCCAGTCCTGATGTCGGCCCCCTCTCCAGCCCCGAGCAGCCTCTCGCTCCTAAAGGCGTTGTTGTCATTCTCCGGTCTTCCTCTCTCCAACCTCTTTTACCATTTCACATCTTGTATCCTTCCCTGCCCTCTTCCTCACCTTCCTAATTTGTTTTGGGTTTTCTTTCTGTTGTTGTTGTTTGTTTGTTTGGGGACATCGATTAACATGTCCCTTCCTCTTAAAATGCCCATTCTCCTTGTTTTTCCATCAGTTCCATTTAGGGAGAATCCGGCAGACTGCTAGAGTTGCAGGACAAGGAGAGTAATATGGGGCAGAACTGGACCAAGAGAACAAGTCCATGTCCCAAAGGGCTGCACGATAGAAGGCTGAGCTGTTGGTGCATATTGTCTATTTCCCTCCAAAACAATGATACTAGCAGTTGCCAGTTTTGACAGATATAGTGTTGGATTTCTAAAATCTGAAACTTACTCTGCTGCGTAAGGTGCAGCCCACTCTCACTTACCTGAGGTTAGAAGAAAGAGTGAGACAATGCGCAGCAACCAAAACCCAGTGGGAGGATCAGGTGGTTTGCCTTCTGTTGCTTTCCTTTCCTTTGTAGGGACAACCCAAGGAGCAGTCCCTGGAAGGACAAAACAGCAGCAGGGACAGAGGAGCTGTTCTTAGTCTCCAGGTACCTAAGACCTGTCTAGTTGATTCCTGAATGTATACTTGCTGATAAAAATCTCTTCATTCTTTTTTTTTTTTTTTTTTTTTGCGGGAA